GTCCCGCCGCGGCTGAGTCAGCGCTGGCTCGCGGTGCCACCAGCTGGGCAAGCCCGAGCTGGGTGGCCTAGGGCTTGGCTTGCGGGGGCAGGAAACCCCCCTGGGGGAGAAGGGTGCTGGGGGTGCTGAGGGCTGTGGTTTCTCCCTTGCTGGGCTCAGGCTCTCCTGTCTCTGGCTCCAGGGCAGCTTGGGAGCTCCTGGACCCGGAGGATCGCCTGGGATGCCCGTGAGTACCGTGAGCCTGGAGCCAAAGCCTGGGGTCAGGGACAGGTTTCTTGGCTCGGGGTCGGGGCTGCTTGGCTGGAGCATTGGCTGGGGCAGCGGCGGGATCCGAGTCCAGGTGTGGAGAGGGGTTTGGGAGAGCCGGCGGCCTCGTTTGGGGCTGGGGCCATCCCATGCCACGGCTGGTGGCAGGGGTTGGGGGGTGCTGGGTGGCATTGCCAGGGCAAACCTTGGTCTCGGGGCTCCCTGAAGCAGCCCTGTCCCCTGCCTTCCTCCTGCAGGGACCCCCTGGCGTCCTGGGGCTGAAAGGAGACAAGGTAGGTGCAGCAGCAGGGTGGCTCAGCGGGGGGCTGTGCCTTGCCTCACTGTGCCATGGCCACGGGCACGGCAGCCCCTGTAGGCACAGCTCCACTGCGGTGCTCATCACCTGGGCTCGGGGCTGCTTGGGGCATCTCGGGGGCCACCCCGAGGACCTCCAAGCCCAGGGCTGCATCTCACTGTCCCTGCGGGCAGGGCGAGCCGTGCGAGGTGTGTCCCACTGTCTCTGAGGGGATGGTCAGTGCCACTGGGCTGCCTGGCAAGCCGGGACCCAGGGGAGCGCCCGGAGCACCTGGCAAGGATGGGGTCTCGGTGAGTCTGAACCCGGGGTGGCCCCGGGAGCGGGGCAGAGCAGGGTCTCGTCTCAGCATCCCTAATGCTCCCTCTTTGTTTCCCCCACCCCAGGACAGACCCGGCCCTGCGGGACCCAAAGGGGACAGGGTAGGTGACGTGGGGCCGAGGGGTGGGCTGGCTTATCCCCAGCCGGAGCAGGAGGACACTGAGCAACCGTCTAGCCCTCGCTGGCAGCGCCTGGCCCAGCTCCTCTGTTTCCTTCCCAGGGAGATCCCGGCATCCATGGGATAAAAGGGGAGAAGGTGAGTGTCCATCCCTCCATCCCACCCGCCCGCTCGGTGGGCAGCGCCCGTGGCCCCCCTGAGCCGCGCCCTCTCCCGGCCCTCACAAGGG